TTTTCTCAGAATTCTGACTTTAATCTGAGAATTCTTACTTTTTTCTCAGAATTCTGACTTTAATTCTTTAGCCAATAACACGTTGGTGGAAAAAGAAAGGAATTAGACAACTTTTTACGTGCCCGAGGGGTCCCCGGTGATGGAGGAGCAGAAGGTAATTAAAACATAAGAGCTAGTCTCCAAAACGGACATGGCTACAGCCTGATGCTAATATGTTTGCTGTCAGAATTCAGTTAGAATTCTGACAGCATTCAGAATTGTCACTTGTCACTTTATTATCAGCATTCTGATAATAAAGTGACAATTCTGAGAAAAAAAGTCATAATTCTGAGATTAAAATCATAATTCTGAGAAAAAGGTGAGAATTCTGAGATAAAGTCAGAAATCTGAGAAAAAAGTCAGAATTCTGAGATTAAAGTCAGAATTATGAGAAAAATTCAGAATATAATATTTTCTTAGCTTCTATACAAAGTTACGACCAATATATTTTTATTTGTTAATTTCTGGTTCATGTTTTATTGGATTATTAGACAAGTAATATGGCCAAAGGCAGCGACTATCACACATTTAAAACGATATGACTTAATAAAAGCACCTTTCGTTCATCTATTTGAACGTACGTGGTTTATCACACTCGTTTGACATCAGCCTCACATTGTTGGTGAGACTGATGTCAAATGATTAAAAAAAATAAAGCAGCAACATTTATTATAATGATTGATACCTAATTATAACGTACTCATAATAGGCATGTACTTAGCCATTTTTTAACCTTATAGATGGTTAATTTAATTACAAACGCTAATCTACAAAGCGTTTTTTTTATTGAAATTTGAAGCACCTGTAAAAGCGATCATCACGATAAGGTGTTAAATCCTCCTTCAGCTCGTTGTAGGCCTCTTTTATTTTCCTGCAGAAGTATTTCAGCTCGCTGTACAGAGGGTTTTCCAATCCGGAGGAGTAGTCTGTGTCCATCATTCCACCGAGCTCTTTTTTATTTTACGCCTGAAAAATGGCGACGAGGAAACAATCCGCGGCCTTCAGCAAATAGCTCCCAATAGACCTGTCTGTCTGGTGTTGTTGTCACGTTTATTTAAAAGTGCAACCGCAGCTGCTCTGCTTGGATCGCGTCATAATAAAAAAGACAAAAGCAAAAATGTGTCAAAATGAAAAAGGGGGCGGAAACACGCAGCTAACACACAGGAGGAAGATCACGTGATCACAGTTCAGGACCACGGACAGTGACGGGAATTAGCGTGGGTTATGATGCTCCACCTGGGAGAGTGTCCATGGAGGACTTACACATTTCATTAGATATAAGATTAAACAAACCGTTTTATTCATTCTATTAATTCAATGTGTTAATATGTGTATTATATTCTTCTATTTAAATTTAGGCATTTTATAAATGTTAAAAACATGCTATACTGCACACACATAAATAGAGAGAGGCATTTCAACAACGAGTGCCATATACATGTCGATTTAAAACAAGATGGTAAACTGATCTACATTTTTAGGTCATAAAGTTTATTGTAGATATATATATATCTATATATATATATCTATATATATATATATATATATAGATATATATATATATACACACATATATACATCTATATATATACACATATATACATACACATATATATATACATACATATACACATATATATATGCATACATATACACATATATATATATGCATACATATACACACACATATACATACACATATACATATATATATATACATATATATATAAATATAAAAAGCAAAATCCTTCGTCATCTTTGCCATTGATTGGCTGCTTCCATGTCCCAAATACCTCGTTTTCCAGCCACTTTTGTTGAAATTTGCATTTTTCCATTCTCTAGCTTTTTCTCCACCGCAAGCTTCTTTTCCAAACACATGGCTTT